ATTAGATTCACAAAAAAAATTGGGTTGGGCTGAGAATTGGACTTGAAAATATTGGTCCTAACCATTATAAAATTAAAAATTCGCCATGACCAACAACTCATCTCCACCATTATTCTTCCTGGATGGTCAGGTATCTCCAAATCAGTTTTGATATAGCTAAGAACTAATTGTTCTTCTCTTTTTAGATGATTTTAATACACAACTCTCAATAACATTATACAAAAATTTAAATTTCTTAAAGAAATACTTTTCTAAACTTAAATCTTAGAGATAACTTATAAAATAACAATTACTAACAAGTAAATGCAACCTTCCCATTACTTATCTCCACCATTATTAATCCATTTGTACGTCATTGATAATGCTGTCAATGACACTTCCAATTTAAAGGGAAGTGGCTATTGTAATGCCTGTGTTTAAAACTCAGGACTTCAACCTCCTAAGCTAACGCTTACACTTTAAACGGAACTGGCAATTGGGCCACTACGAGCTGGACTGGACACCTTTCCAGGTGTTAGGGTTGAGGGAAAATAAAGAAGAGGGGACCAACTGGGATTTTAGGCCAATTTTTTTAGTCCAAAATTGCAATCGGGTCAACAACCCCTTGAGAAGTCGGCCCATGGGCCTCATATGTAATCTCCATCCACTTAACCTCAGTGTGTTTGGCGAGGGAGAAAAATACCCAGAAAAAGAAAGATTTCCCTTGTGAACTGCTGATGTGAAATCGAAGAAGAAGAAGAAGAACAGGTATCGACATTTAACTTCCCCCTTTCGATTTGAAATTGGGTGTTTTTCATTTTACTTCTATATCTTATTTCTTTATTTTGCACTTCTTTTCTTTTATTTTCTTGTCTTTTCTATTTTGTGGATTGTGTTGGATAAATTTGAACTTGATTTTCTCTTTATTTAAGCTTAATCTTCAGAAATACCAAATGGGTTTATCTCACACCCAATTTTCTGTTTCTTAGTTTCTTTTGATGCTCAATATGTAGCAATTTTTTTTATTGGTTTATACCATTTGTTTCTGGGATTAGAGAATCTTCATTCTGTTCTTGATTATTCACTGAACTCTTTATTGTTGAAAGAAAAGTTTAGACAATGTTAGATATGGGTATGTGAGTTCATTTTTCACTCATGTTACTTCCAGTTTGTTTGCCACTGATGAATCTATAAGTTTAAAATTAGATAGAAAAGAGCTGTGTGATATGCAATATGTTCTGCATTTTATCACTTTTATATTCTTGTTCATCTTCATGGACGCATATAATGCATAAAGTTAGATTATTTTAGTGTTCATTGCTCCGATTGGTCCCCTCATAAGTCCTCCGACGGAGTGCTTTTTATTGTTTTCTCAATTTTAGCGGTCATTCCATTAATTTGATCCTGTGCGGTGTAGAATTTTTAGCCTCTTGATTTCATTGTTTGTTTATACCTTATATTGTATTTGTGCAGGAACGATGTATTGTTGCAACTTAAAGATGTTGTTTGGTATGTAAGTTACTTCAATATGAGAACCCACTTCTGTTTTTTTTTTTTTCACATTAATCTTTTTAAATGCTAATCTGTAACATAATTACTTGGAGCTGAATTTCACATTTGAAATGCAATCACTGTGGTCAATTCTTTCTTTTTTCATTTTTTGTTATATTATTCTTGCCTCAAAAATTGCAAGATAAGAAGTTTTCATTTATCTTTTTCACCCTTTCTTTCAGAGTAGAAGATGGAGGTTCCAATTAAAATAGGTGATCGAGCAACCAGTGATGTTGTAGTGAGGCTACGAACACAAGATGGCCGTGATGATTGGATATACTGTCACTCCCAAGTTCTTGTAGAGAAGAGCAAATATTTTGCTGACCGCCTCTCTGATAATTGGCCAACGTGTCAGATCCTTGACTCACGCAACTGTGTTGAGGTTTACTGCCAAGAGTCGGACGTTGATCATCATGTCAATGTTCTACGACTTCTCTATGTTGTTCTAGATGGTTCAGTTGATGATTTGTGGAATGGTGTTAAAAATGCCCTTGGCATTCTCCGGGTAGCTGTTGAACTTGGGTGCCCTCAAATTGTTACTGCTTGCGTGAACTATCTGGAAGCTGTCCCTTGGGAGGAGGCTGAGGAAGAGGAGATTTTAAGAATCATACCAGGCATGGGATCACAAGTGGAACCAATTCTTGCCCGTCTCCAACCAGTCAATCAATCAGCTATAGTGGGGATTTTTATCTCAACCATCCAATTTGCCACATCATCACCTCCTTCGCCATTACATGATCTTAAATCTTCAGCTCAAGAGCAGCTTGAGTATATGGTCACTGAGGATGATGATTCCCCTCTATTAACTGCTGACGATGACCTAAAATCTGAGGTAAAAGAATGTGTTAGGAGACTATTTTCCAGATTCAATAATTTGATAGAAGCTTTATTGTGTGAACCCTTAGATGCTCTTCATGAGGCAGGAAGTCTGAAATCATTCCGGTCTTATTTAGCAGATCTGTTATGGGTTTGTCAGATCTTAACAAAGTTGGAAATCATGAGGAATTTTGTTAACAGTTGGATGGATTTGTCAGATAAAATAGTTAATATTTTCACGCAAGTATTTCCAATGGTAGAAATAGTTGAGACAAAGCTGAAGGTTATTGAGGTAGCTGCAAAGGTTTTGGAGACAATAGGATATGGCACTGTAATTTTGCCAACTGCTAAACGGCTTCACATTGTCAAGTTGTGGCTTCCATTTGTGAGGTCTACAAAACCTCTGATTGATACTTGGGTTGCCACTAAAGATGAGGACTCTTCAGAATTTAGGATGGATGGAGAGCTTTGGCAGTCATTGGAATCCACATTTGTTTCAATAATTCTTGCATTACCTTCTGGGGATCAGGCTCAGATTTTGACTGAATGGTTAGGGAATGAGAATATGCAGTATCCAGATCTGACTGAGGCATTTGAAGTGTGGTGTTATAGGTCCAAAGTTGCCAAGCGGAGACTAGCTATGATAAAAGGTGAAGGCGAGCAAGGAATGGCCAACACAACTTGATTGTTCTGTGGAACCTTTTCTTGTCAATCATTATGCTAAGCTCTCATTAACTCCTTACTTGATATTTTTGAGTTCAAAGTTCATCTGAGCGGGAGGAGTGGTTAACATTAGAGATTCCTAATCTTTAGACCCTTTTACATATTTGCTTTTGGTGAAATCAAAATTTTAGGGTTAGTAAATCATGTCACGTTAGGTCCTTTGTTGATTGTAAAAGTTGTGAAGGTGATTAAGGTCAGAAATCAATTGTAAAATCAATATCTTCTAAGAGCATGCAGTCAAAAAACAAAAGCAAATTTATTGCAGGGAGTTGGGGGAATGGGATTTCCCATGTTTTATCATGGGACTTGAAAGCTTACCAAGTCTTAAATATTGATTCATGAACCATTAAATCTAAACCACGGAGGCCACTTCATTTGCTGATAGCAATATTGTACTTTGTTTTTCATATAAGCACAAATTATTTGATTCAGATTTATTTCTTGCTTGTTGCATCATGTGTGTGTACGTCTTTCTGTCTAGTGACATAACCTTGGTGCATCAAAGAAAATGGAAGATATGCCTCACTCCTTGTTTGGCCTTCAAGGATATGCCTGCTTCAAATGAGGGTTAAAAATACATGCCCACAATTAGCGCACAGCTCCCTCTTGTTTACTTCACACGAATGCTTTTATAAAGCATTCTAACTCAGTCATTCTCAGTGTATGGTTAATGTCAATAATGTGTAATTACGATTATTTAAGAACTAGAATTGCTATGGAATTCCAATAACTAGGAAAAAGTTCTATAACTTGGGCTAGTTTCTTATTTTTATTTGGATTTGGTTTGAGGTTCTTGCATAGTAGAGCCATGATTTTGTGAAGTCCTTTTTCACATTGTCGAGTTGAGTCGAGTTAGTTATTATAAAGTTATATATTTTTATTTATAAAATTCGAACTTAAAATCTTACTTAAAAGAGAATTATCATTGTGTCATTTTTTTAATATCAGCCAGTTTTGTGATTCCTGTTTATGTTTGTGGCCTGGCGTTGCTCAAATCATGAAACCAAACCAAACGGAAGTTCATGGTTCTATGGTTGGAACTAAACTAAACCAAATCTGACGAGATTTAGTTTAAAAGGAGTTGGATTCAAGTTCAATTAGGAATTAAACCCTAAACAGACCACATGGTTGGTAGTAACTAATGGATTTCCCAATCCTACTAGAAGTTGTATAAAGTTTGATTATTTTTCAATTTTAAAATCTATATATATAAATCTATTATAGCGACAACAACAACAGCAACCCATTTTATGCTGCTAGCAAAGTCCCAAGAAACAAGAAAAGGTATAGAGAATTGGTCGGGTCTACACTCTGATATCATCAAAAAAATTATGGAAAAACTGTTGGATCAATAAACAACTTCCGGGTTATTATTATCAATCCCAGGTGGACCATGTCCTCCGCAATTAAAGAAGGAAGTGCAAGTGCAATGGCAAACACAAACTTGGTCCTTTATGCTGATAGCATCATGTATCCAAAGAAGTTCTCTGCAACATTGGAATATCTGGTTTGATCGTCGGCTTATTTGGGGAAAAAATGATTTAATTCAACATGTATGATTTGTTTGTTTGCAAACTTGGTTTATAGTTTTTAGTTTATAAGAGAATTGTTTTAGGTCTTGGGTTAGATTGGTTTGGGAGTTTGCATGTAAGAGACTACAAACATATATAAAGAGAGTAGAGGCGCCACATTGAACCTGAAAACATGCTTACTAGGTTCACGGGTCTTCTACATATATATTTCACTCTAACACTTTGTTTTTTTATCAATGTGAGATCTTATTCACATCTCTTAACTTTTAACTTCACTCACATGGTCATATACTCCAACAAGTCCAAATTGCTGCTCAAATTTTTACTCTTGTTCCTTATTTCCTTTTCATTAAGTGATTATTGTTTGACATGAGATTTCGTGTTGAGATTTCATCTGGTCTTCATTTCAAAACGTCTTTGTGGTCCTATCTTCACCCTCACCATCACTGGACAATCCTCCACATGTTCTGGGTAACCACACATATTAGCAAAAATCAGGTAACCTCTTATACTTCACTCTGCTCACAACAATTTCTCCTAACGCTGACCTTTTTCAATGGCTTTGAGATATGCATCATCACCCTTGTATAACTCTAGAACATGCCGTACCAACTCCCTTGAACACATGAAGAAGAATACATGTCATCTGACTGAAGCTTCATTTGCTAAGTGATTGAAGAGATGCATTCATTCGAGATTGCAACCTTAATTTTTTGAGTCAATTTGTATGGTATGTTCATACTTTGATTTTTCTGATTCAATTTGTACCTATTCATACTTGAGCTATTACGGTAACCAACTTTAATACATGCACTATGTTAGTCTAAATGGAAATTGAGCAGCAACAGTTTGGGCAAATTTGGCTATGGAGGAATTAAGTGAATTTTTAGGGATGAAAGAAAGGATGCAGGAAGAATCTTGGGATTGATACAGATCAAAACATGGCTGGGTTAAAGAAGGCATTTCAGTTCCATGAATGGAGGGGTCAACCGCTAGTATGCTTAAGTTCAATTGCTGGATAAGAGATCTTGATTAAGCTACACCAGTTAGAAATTTTGATTTGCAGATTGGATGTTTGATAAAATGCCTGATTGAGGTTGGGCTGGTGTTGCTCTCAATGAGGATTGGGGAAATTCTGCAGCTTATACAAGAGTTTTAATGGATTTGTTTTCGTTGTCTCTATTGGGCCTTTAGACATGTATGTTCAGTTAAAAAGTTGGGTAGGTAAACAAGGATGTGGTTAGGTACCCCTTTCCTTATACCTCGTTAATACAAGTCATTTCCATGTTGATAAAAAAAAAAAATGCAAATGAAGTTCTGAGAGCAACCTATTTTTCAAAAACCAAAATTACAAATATAAGTCTGGGATATCAAAATATTTTATCTCCACAAAAATTGAAATTGATGAATAGTCTATCCTTGGTTCAGTTTGACTTTGAAGCCCAAAAAATTCATTTTTCTTCTCACATGTATTTAGTTCAGGCACATTGTTCATACAACATGATAGACTAATTGTAACATGTATTGCTTTCGTCCTTGCTGACTTTTATTCAATCATAATCTTTTTATCTTCTTCTTTTTGAGATTTTTCTTCAGCAGAAGCAATATAGGGGGTCCCTCTTGCCCAACGCCCATTGAACACATGCACCAATGTTTTACAACTATTGCTGACTTTTCTCCATTTGAAATTTTGGTATCTTGATTTTAATTTGTACACCCGAAGTTCATACTTCAAGATGCTATTACCTCACAAAATCATAGGTTTCCCTCAATCATGCACCTATGTACCCTTTTATTGTTATGGTAACAGAAATGTTATTTTCTTTCATCCTTAAAAAGGTAAAAATACTCCTCTTAAAAAAAAATAATAATTGTATTTTTAATTAAAAATGTGTCTTACAATTTAAATTATTTTAAATTACATAATTTAAATTATTTTAAATTACATAATTTAAATTATTACATAAAAACAAACCTTTAATATTAAGGTTTTTTTTCTTCTTTTAATAATTTTTATATTAAAATTTAATATAATTTTTAGAATAAAATAACACGCTTTTTTTATTTCACAATTATAGCATGAGGTATTTTGTTTTTTCCCCATTTCTTGAAGTTGTGATTGTCTGGATAACTCTTTTTTTTTTCTTTTTTTTTTTGCCTTTAAAAAAACTATCTTTTTTCTTTTTTCAAAATAAGTTAGACTCTACTAATTTTAAAATTTTAATTCTATGATTATGAAAAAACACAATAAAATGAATCACATGAAACGCTAAGTCATACATAAAAAGTTCACTTCAAATTGACATATCGGTATACCCAACCCAAGTAACTAAATTCTTATGATATCAATCCACTATCCACTTTACCAAAATCCATCTATCCAACCCCAAAACTTACAAAATCAAATATATAATCCTCAAATATATGCTAAACTAAAATCCTAAGCTGTCTAAGTACTCAAATGGTTCTATGCAGAGTATAAACCTATACTACAAGTAAATTTTTCTCTCTTTTTTTTTTTTTGCAATTTATTTGTTTACATTACCAATACCATGCATT